CGGTCTGTCCATAAACTTAGGGACACCCAGGAAAAAAAGTCTTAGTCTAAGTAAGGGTCAAGTGTGACTTTAGAAATGGGTAGGAAGACGCCTGGCAAAGTAAAGCAAAACAAGAATCAGTAAGAAATAGTAAAGACTGGGGCAAATTATTTCTCCACGTGTCAAAATCATTGCAAGGCTCTTATGCCTTATTATGTCTTGGAGACAGAATACTCAAGATATGTAAAAATATGACAGGAACAATAATTAGCTATCGAGTCAGAACTCTGCGCATGTTCACCATTCTCAGGAATGAGAGAAGAGCTGGATGCATACCTTCCTTCACCCTTGTCTTGCTCAATGCTTCAGTTACATATTTTGCAAAATTTCAAGGAGAAAGAGGTGAAAAACTTTCCAACATTTTAATATTATATCTTCAAGTAAAAGTAACGTATATTGGAATTCTGGTACTGCTTTAATTTTCTCAACCCTTTGGTTTCTTTGAATATAGCAGGCTCATAGAAAAGATTACTTCATACCATAGTACCATTCCTACCATGAGCTTGTTAGATTTAGATGAACAGATGTATATTGGGGAATCTACTGTAAATAATGCACTTAAAAACAATCCTTAATAAGTCTTTTGTCAGCTGTGCCTTACTAGTTACCTAATACTTTTTTTCTAATAAAACAACACTGTTAAAAGCAGAACATTTATCGGTATAGGACAAAATATCCCCCAAATGCATTGAAGACAATCCCTGAACTTCACTTAATTAGCATCCATTCCTCCTTCTTAGATGTGGACATACACTTTTAATTCTGTAAAATATACAAGTATGAAGGAACAATCATTTCACAAATCACAAATGAAATTACTAATTTATCTATATATAACAACTCTGAAAGTGTGCTTGTTGGTGTATCAGGTCTTTTTAAAACATTTCAAGACGATCTAGAAAGATAAAATTTGGTGTGAGTATATAGTTTTTGTTCATGGTCAAAAGGAAAAATTCTGAAACATCTAATTTTCAGTTCATTTCTATGTAATTTTAGCTCTAGAAAGAGGGCGAACCTTAAAGCGAAAGAGTAATAAATATAACTAATTGTGTTTTAATTGGTCTCAGAATATGAGAAAGTAGCTGACTTGAATAATTGGGTAACTATTCCTTTTAGTGGTTCCCAATTTTTTGCTTTAAAACAATTGAGTATCATCTGATTGACCTCTAAAGTAATGTAAAAGATCACTATGTGATTTTGGCATGTAACTTGGAAGAAGTTCAAGGACTTGAGTGACATCACTATAACATTTCCTGGCACAGAAAGTTAATACTGCCATCATAGAGTAGTCATCTTAGTATAAAAATGATTTAGAGACCAATGGCACATTAACAAATCTAACTAGTCTACTAGTAAATACACCAAAAGAGCAAATGCTTTTGTTTCTTTTTACATGAAGGTGATTACTTTTTTTAATATATATTTTTATTGATTTCAGAGATGGAAGGGAGAGGGGGAGAGAGAGAGAAGCATCAATGAAGAGAGAGATTCATTGATTGGCTGCTTCCTGTACGCCCCCACTCCCCCGACTGGGGATCAGACCCACAATCCAGGCATGTGCCCTAGACCAGAATTGAACCTGGGGACCCTTCAGTCTCCATTCCGACGCTCTATCAACTGAGCCAAACCGGCTAGGGCGATGCTTTTGTTTCTTACAAGAGATAGGTTTGCCAACAGTTTTACAAAAAACCTCTATAGTCTGGGAAGGCATCCTCAAGCTGAAAGTCTATATCTCCTATGAAATAAGCTATTTAGTAAAAAACTTGGGACTTAACCTGTTCAGAGTAAAGGGTCACGGGAGAGGTATGCTTAAAAAAACAATCTTTTGGATTTTCAGAGTTGAAGAGGAAATTCACATTTAGCTTGATTGGGAAGTATGCTAATAACACATAGGCGAATTATTCTGAGGATCTCCTGAATGTGATCAAGATTTTGGGAATGAGACCCAAAGAAAGGAAGGCATATTAGGGACTAATGATAACCAAAGCTAACTAACTTAAGGATGAGAGCCTAGGATGAGTCTGAGAAGATTAGAGCTGGCTTTCAGCTATATTTCAAAGGAGAGTTCTACAGCCAAAGTTCCCAATTGTTGATGAATTTGCCCTTCTTCAGGTCTATGGCACTGTAACATGGCCTTTAAGGCTTGACATCACCAAGTCTAGAGTGGTAGCATTTGCTTCGATGTGATGAACTGCTGAAACTCAAAAACTCATCTCTCTGGTTCTGGATAACTCCTCCAAGAATGTAAATCTTTTGTTTGGTTATAACATCACCATATGATCCTTTACAATGATTACACTGCACAGGATTTTACAGTGATTTCACTGTACCCTTTAACAAATTTGGTTCTCACAAAAACTTTATAAATAGGCAAGACAGGTCTTCAGAATGTATGATTTAATTTATATAAAGTTCAAACTAGGCATAACTAATCTATCATGTTAGAAGCTGTAATGGTTACCTCTGAAAAGAAGAAAGAAACTGGGATAAAGCGTTAAGAAACCTTTTAGAAGTGCTGATAATGCCCTGTGATTTCATGGGTGTGCTCACTGTATAATTCATGGATCTTTATCCTTCTGATTTGCACATATTCTGTAAACATGTCATACTTCAATAAAAAGTTCATTATTTTTCAATGCCATGGTCTTAATCACTGCATCATAGCTGCCCATAAAGAATATTAAACAGACATACATAGCTAAAAGTGGCAGTAAAAATACTGAATGTATTATAGAAAAGAAAACGACTGATTGTAAATGCAAAACTACTTGCTTTTTAATTCAACTACTTTCATTTATTTCATACCCATCTAAAACCTAACATGAGAAATAAGAAAAAAAAGTTAAATATATAAAAGGAGACAAAAACTATCACCCTATAGTTAAGGATACAGCATTTCCCCCCCTTATTGTCACCCATATTCCTCACCTCTATAATTTCTCAACTCCGTTATTTTCTTATCCTATATAATAAAAGCCTAATATGCAAATTGCCCCCTTGGGTGGTCATTCGACTGCTTGCTATGATGTGCACTGACCACCAGGGGGTGGCGCGGAACATGGTGGGCATGGGGGCGTGGCACTGGCAGCAGTGGAGGTGCTGCTGTCCCTGATGAGAGTGGGACTGCAGGTGAGCGGGAGGTGCCAGGCCAAGGTGGGTGCGTGTGGGGCCTGATCGCCCCACAGACAGCAACCAGAAGTGGCAGTGGGGGGGCGCTGCTAGCTCCCAGGCACTGAGGGAGCCAGTCAGGGGGTCAGCCCCAATCGACTGCCCCACAGGTGGGATGGTAGAGCAGTTGAGGGGGCAGGGCCAAGCCAACGCAGGGTGCCAGGCAGGGCTGCAAGGCCGGGGGCACGAGCTGGGGCCTGATCTCCGCAGGCCACCCTGAGGGACCCCACCCGTGCATGAATATGTGCACTGGGCCCTCTAGTTTTCCATAATTCTCTACCTTCTTTCCTACCTCCTCTCATCCTCCAAGATCTTTCACTAGGTAACTGGTGATTATGAAGCAAGATTATACTGGGAAACTTCCTGGGTCAGCTTAGGACCAATTCAGCTCCTTCATATCTCTTATTTTCTCTTCTTGTCCTCCAATTCCATATTCTTTTCTTGCCATCTCATTTTCTCACATCTCTCCCTCTGTTTCTGCCTCTATTCTTCTTCCTAGTTTTATTCCCCAAGTCTATCTGAAGCACACATAATAGTAAAAGGTAACCAACCAATATTTATTCTCATTAAATTATGTTCTATATAAACAGACCTTATGGAATATCTACTCAAAAGTCATTTACTAGTCTTCCTCTATTACAGAGACTGGAATACTAAAACAAAGTTTTTGGCTTCTCTTATATGTAAGAGAGCTGTAGCCAAATTGATTTGTTTGCAAATGAACAGCTAATGCCTCATTAGGAGAAAGCACTATGCTCTAACTATTCTTCCTGCCCAGACCACTAAGGATTCAGACGTAAAAACATAATGGTGGGCCTCATCCCACCATTGCCTGAAGGGAGCTGATCCTTAGCTCTAGGGCTGCTCCCAGCCATTCCCCAGGGTTCATGTGTAGTATCTTATACAAGAGTGCAATTAGAATCTGGCTGCTTAGGCAAACCTGTACTGAAAGCAGAAAAACTTAACCCATGTTATCATATTAAGTGTTATTTTAAAAATACAGCTGTACTCAGGCTCCACTAAGACTACCTAAAGTTGAAATCTGCAGTAGGAAGGACTTGGACGAGAAAAATTTCCTGAAAACCATGATTACAAAATATTGACAATTATAACTATGAACTACTAAGGAAGGCTATCAAATTTCCTTTAAAAAGCGTCTTTTGAAAATATGGCCTGAATTATTTTATGGCATTCCACTGTAAAGACAAGAGTTAGAAGAGAGCAGCACTTGGACATCATTTCCATTCTATAATACACTACTGATTTAAAGGTTTTACCTCAGTACACTTTCTATATTTATTACAGGAGAGCTAGAGTGCTATATAAAAATCACTATGTAATAAAACCTCACTAACAAACCATTAAGAAGGAACTTATTGGCCAAATTGATAAAAAATGTAAATTAAATGCCCAAATTTTCTAACAACTTTTTAAGTCAGCACTATATCTGTAAGGCTATCAATGATGTACCTCTAAAAATACTGTTTTCTGCTGAAACCGGTTTGGCTCAGTGGATAGAGCGTCGGCCTGTGGACTGAAGGGTCCCAGGTTCGATTCCGGTCAAGGGCATGTGCCTGGGTTGTGGGCACATCCCCAGTGGGAGATGTGCAGGAGGCAGCTGATTGATGTTTCTCTCTCATGGATGTTTCTAACTCTCTCTCCCTTCCTCTCTGTAAAAACTCAATAAAATATATTTTAAAAAAATAAAAATAAAAATACTGTTTTCTTCAGACCTGTCTAGAAAAAGAAAAATCAAGTGCTATTAATGAATGATTTCAAAATTCTGTATTTACCTTTTTTTTCTCCAGTGTAGGGCACATAGTCTTCCCGGTCCTTATGCTCCAAAGCTTCCTTCTCCAGATATGACAAGAGGTGTTCTCTATCAAAAGGCCCTGTGGCAGACTTTGAGGTCTGGTTCTTCTGTCGGAACCCTGCAGGCAGAAGGGCATTCTGCCAAAGAGAATGAATCAACCATTATGACCACCAAGAATGCCGATTTTCATATGCTTGCATAGATTACTCAGAGAAGAAACAATTCTAGATTAGAATATGATGTAGGTATTAAACACTTTATTACAGGACTTTAGGGTTGCATTGTAAAAGTGTTCCAAAGTTTTTCTTAAATTAGGTAGTATTCACTTACATTACTATTAAAATAAGTACAAACATATTTTCTTTAGCAAGTGTTTTACTAGCAGGAAAACCCCTTAACTTTTAAAATGTCCTGGAACAATCATAAAAAGGTTTTTAGTGCTTAATAACACCTTAGCATATATGTAAATATAGAAAATAATTCTGTTACAAAAGAATGTTAAATGACTATATGCATAATAGTCCTTCACAGTAACTTTTATTTCATTATAAAGACCTTCTCATTAAAAAACACACAAAACACCACATGTATATCAAGCCCTAGCCAGGTTGCTCTGCTGGTTAGAGCATCATCCTGACACCAAGGTTGCTGGGTTTGATGCTGGGCCAGGGCACACATAAGAATCAATGAATGCATAAATAAGTTAATCAACAGTTGATGTTTCTCTCTCCTTCTCTCCCAAATCAATTAAAAAACAAAACAAGTATATTGCCTGGCTGGCATGGTTTAGTGGAGAGTGTCGACTTCTGAATCAGGAGATCACTGTTTGATTCCTAGTCAGGGCACATGCCCTGGTTGCAGGCTCAATCCTCAGTGTGGGGTGTGCAGGAGGCAGCCGATTAATGATTCTCTCTCATCATCATTGATGTTTTTCTCTCTCTCTCCCTCTCCTTCTCTCTCCCCCTCTCTCTCTCTCCACACCCTTCATCTCTGAAATCAATAAAATATATATAAAATAGAACAGTCATGTCAGTAAAGATATGGAGGTAGAAGGGGAAAACTGGAGAAGAGACAAAAAGTTAATTTAAATAAAGAGGTGTCAGTGAAGACTTGCTTTGGGGCGATGAACACACAATATACAGATGCTGTATTATAGAATTATACCCCTTAAACCTATAATTTTATTAACCAATGTCACCCCAATAAATTCAACAACAAAAAATAAATTATACATATACATGGGGGGAAAAAAAGAGGTGCCAGTGAAAAGTCCTGAAGGAGTTAACTGCTCAAAGGCAGCTACTTAGTTTCAAAGGGTTTGAAAAATTATTTCATTTTTCTTCATTAGCTAGCACCTACCTCAGGGTCAAGATCATCCAGCACGGTTTCCAGTTGTTTTAGTTCTACTTCTGATAGATTCCCAAGGAGCTCATCTTCATCCAGGTCCTTGTACTTTTCCAAGTCCTTCCGGAATGGTAGTGCCATGGTCTGCAGTGTCACTTCGTTTTTGCTATTCAATGTAGTCAGAAGTGATTTCTATTTTTTTTTAAAACTATGGAGAGAAGAGACAAAAACATTTAAAACATCATCTCCACCTACTTAGATCTATTATTAGGTTAAATGAAATGTAATTTCCATGTCATATATTCTTTGACCATATATCACACACCCCCCTTTTCTATGGATCATTCAATGCCTTTACCTTTTGCCTTTTGTTAACAACAACAAAAAGAAACAGAGAAAAGAGGGGAAGGAGAGAATAAAATTCAAATCCATAAAAATGTCTACTTGACAGAATTTAGATTTTCTGATAACTAAATTTTGGGGGGTAAAGATTATATAATTTGTGCTAAAATACAAATTTTTCCATCAATGGCTTTCAAATGACTGTTACTTTGCTTAAGCACAGTATGTTTAAGGTACAGTTGTTTTATTGTAAATTACTTAGAAGAACATTATTTTCTGACTCAACATTAACATGGGGTGGGTGATACCATTGCATTCCCCATAGAAGGAATGGCGGCCTCTGGCCATTGGGAAAAAAATTTTTTTGAAAAGTGCGTTAAAAAAAATTTAAAGGCGCTTTTAAAGGAAAAAATACAGCACTATAAAACTTTCAGTAAAATACTCAAAACCATGCTATGTCACCCACTAACTGACAAGGTTAGTCAGGAGAATCTGATTACAGAAAGAACCTTCACCATTTCCTTACTGTGTGGATCTCTCCCCAAAAGCTATGAGGTGACTCAATAAGCAGCATATTTCCAGTTACCCACAGGACTGTTACATAGGAAAGGATACTTAAAGTAAAAAAGTGAAGCAAAAATTAAGTATTTTTATGAATTTTAGCCATATATGTGGATCATTTGTCTCATAAAATGTTCCTATGTGTGCCCTAGCCAATTTGGCTCAGAGGATAGAATATTGGCCTGAGAACTGAAGGGTCCCGGGTTCGATTCAGTTGCAGGCTCGATCCTACCTCAGTTGCAGGTTCGATCCCTGGCCCTGGTTAGGGCATGTGCAGGAGGCAACCAATTGATGTGTCTCTCTCATATTGATGCTCTCTGTGTCTCTCCCCCTCCCTTCCGCTCTCTCTAAAAATCAATAGAAAAAATATCCTCAGATGAGGATTAACAACAACACAAAAATGTTCTGTGTGGATAAAAAATAATCTTTAGACTTAATGGTGTTTTCGATCCCTGGCTCTGGTTAGGGCATGTGCAGGAGGCAACCAATTGATGTGTCTCTCTCATATTGATGCTCTCTGTGTCTCTCCCCCTCCCTTCCGCTCTCTCTAAAAATCAATAGAAAAAATATCCTCAGATGAGGATTAACAACAACACAAAAATGTTCTGTGTGGATAAAAAATAATCTTTAGACTTAATGGTGTTAAAATTTTTCTTGGCTGCAAAATGCCCAGTATTTCAAAGTTTGGATATATTTCCTTTGCTACCGTTCCCCCGTTTTCCCAACTTAATACCATATTTTAACTAATATATTTTCCTCCTCAATTCAGTAACATTTTATGGATCCTTTTAGGTGTTTTCATCTCCCAAGAAGAAATGAAGGTTCACCACAGGAGTCTGTCAGTTAATGAAATGACTAGCAACCACCTGGGTCCTATAAAAAGCAAATTAACATAATTGTGCTTATGCAGATGTTAAATTGCAGGCATTTTGTATAATTGCCCAAGACAGATCTGGCTTACGCCTGTTCTACTAACACTACATACATAGATTTAGCAGTTATCCTACATTTTTCCATTAAAAAAATTATTGTTATCATTACTAAGTTTGGTAAACCTCTACTTTGTATTTCCAACTTTAAGATAGCAAGCTTAACAAGTATCCTGAGAGTGTATTTTCTCAATTAAAAATAATACCGTCTGCAGAGAAGAGTCAATGGAAAGTATCAGCACTACCAAATATAGTAAACCATAAAATGCAATTTTAAAGAAGGTGGCATGCAATTTTAGGAGAAAAGATAAAAAATTAGACCACACTGAAAAAAAGATTCCCTTCATAAACAGACATTTGATACAAAGGTAAGAAATTGATAAAAGTTTAAGAATATGTACCAAGAGTAATTATCTACTTTATGCTATTTTTTAATGTTTGGAAAATCAATATAAAAATACATTTCAATATAGTTTAATATAATATACTGAAGTTTACAGTACAGTCATGTGCCGTCAACAATGGACTGAATATCCAAGGATGGTCCCACAAGATTATCATGGGGCTAAAAAATCCCTATCACCTAATGTAGCCCTTGTAATATATAACCCAACACATTACTCACATGTTTCTGGTGATGCTGGTGTAAACAAACCTAGACCTACTGTTCTGGCAATGGTATAAAAGCACAGCACATATAATTACATATGGTGCATAATACTTGATAATGATAATAAATGACTTTGTTCCTGGTTTATGTATTTACTATATTATTTTAAAGTGTATTCTTTTTAAAAAATATATATTTTTATTGATTTTTTACAGAGAGGAAGGGAGAGGAATAGAGAGTTAGAAAGATCGATGAGAGAGAAACATCGATCAGCTGCCTCCTGCACACCTCCTACTGGAGATGTGCCTGCAACCAAGATACATGCCCTTGACCGGAATCGAATCTGGGACCGTTCAGTCTGCAGGCCGACGCTCTATCCATTGAGCCAAACCGGTTAGAGCAGTATTCTTTCTTCTTAAAAACACACAAAACTGTTGCTGTAAAATGCCTCACCCATCTTGTTTACTGCAGCTCTTGATACCATAATTTTCTCTTGTGTTTGATTTAACCATATGTTGTTTTGTACAGTGGCATGTTGTATTGGCTTGTTGCCTAGGAGCAAGGCTAAGTCACATAGCCTAGGTGTGGAGTAGGCTGTATCATCTAGGTTTGTGTAAGTGCACTCTATGATGTTCACACAATGATGAAATTGCCCAATGATGCATTTCTCAGAACTTATCCCCATTGTTAAGCAGCACATAACTGTATATAATAGAGCTAATTTCTTAGTCAATAAATATTTCAAAAAATACTTTGAGCATCTCTTTTCTTTACTCTCAAAAGTATCACAGCCTTGGCTATAAATTCAATGGTCATCCAACTAAGAGGGTACTGTAATAGACAATATGATAGGAATGAGATATTCAGAACAAAGGCAATATATATCACCCCGGTTTTATAGGTCAGAAACATGACATTCCTTAGAATGAGTAAAATAGTTTACTCCAATAGATTGCTTTTTATTCCAAGTATAAACTGTCATACAAAGCATCTTTATATACTACTAGGAGCCCGGTGCACAGAGATTCGTGCACTGGGGCGGGTCCCTCAGCCGACCTGCACCCTCTCCAATCTGGGAGCCCTTAGGGGAGCCCTCTCCATTCTGGGAGTTTCTGTCTTTGCAATCATATGAGCGAATTGTCTGAGACCCCCTAACCCAGTGTGGTTTGTTGCTCACAGAATAATAGAGGCTTTTTTTTTCTTTGCTTCATTGCTGGAGATTTCCTGGAAGTTTTAGGATACCTTCCCTTTAATTTTTCGTCCCCTCAAGCCTCTGACTCTCCTCCTCTGCTCTCTGCCTGGCGGCTTGGGGGAGCGACCGAGGGAGCCACGTCCTCCAGCTGCCAGCTCTCCCGCTCTGCTCTCTGCCCGGCGCCTGTGTATGCAAATTAACCCATCATCTTTGGCAGGTTAATTTGCATATTCACACCTGATTGGGTGGTGAGTGTAGCGAAGGGACAGTCAATTTACATGTTTCTCTTTTATTATATATAAAACTAGGGCACGAATTCGTGCACCTTGAAAGGAACTGTGGCAGTGAGGCTATGGTGGGCCCAGGGGCAGGTCATGACCTATCCTCCGTGTCCCCACCTGGTCCCTCGCACTGGTGCCCCTGGTCCCATCTGCCAGCAGCCCCGCTCCCGCTGCCGCCACTCCCATGCACTGACGGCGCCGGCCCCACTCGCACCCGTTGCTGGCGCAGAGCAATTGGGACCAGCACCTGCAGCGGGTGCGAGCAGGGACTGCTGCCCCACTTGCCCCTCAGGAGCAAGGGGAGGTGGAGAAGCCCTCAGGGGCAATTGGGGCTGGCAGCCACCACTCGAACCTGTTGACAGCACTGAGCATTCGCGACTGGCGCTGAGTGATTGGGACTGGTGCTGGGTGCTGGCAGCAGATGCCAGAGGCAGCTGCTGGTCTTGATTGCCCCTCAGGAGCAGGGGGAGGTGGAGAAGACTTGAGGGGCGATCAGGGCTGGTGCCTGGCACCGGCAGCAGGTGCAAGCGGCATGTGGGAGCAAAGAATTTTCAGTAACCACCAGAGGGTCACCCCAATGACAGCGACGGTGCCCCGCCTTGGTCTGGCACCCCTGCTCGCCTGTTCCACCATCCCGCTATGGCCAGTGCACGCCACATTCTGTGCGCGCCCCTTGGTGGTCAGCGCACGTCATAGTGAACAGTTGTTCAGTTACCGTTTGGTCTATTTGCATATTAGGGTTTTATATAAATAGATTGTTTAAAAAATAATAAAATGAATGCCTATCTTCAGAGAGAGACCATGACTAGTACCCTCGTATTTCCCATGCCAGGGCATCTCCCTCCTCAAAAGTAGTAGCCATTGCACTGAATTTTGAATTACTTATTCTCTGGCTTTCCTCTACATTTTACCTTAAATGTACATATCCTTAAGAGTTTCAGTTTTGCCCTTTTATTTTGCATTTTATATATATATATGGGCTCATGCAGTATGCATCCTTGTGTGACTTGCATTTTTCCTTTAAGATTGTTTTCAATTGATGCTTAAAGCTGTACTTCTTTCATTTTCATTTCTATAGAGTATTCAGTTGTATAAATGAATATCTGAGTTTTTTGCAGTCGTCCCCCCTCTATTTTTCTGCTATAACCCATCTTGTTATTTACTTCCTGGTATACATGTGCAAGAGTGTCTCAAAGCTGTTCAATCTAGGAATAACATTACTGGAAAAGGGTATGCTCAGACTCAACTTTATTGGGTAATGTCTATTTTCTTTTTTTAAAAAATACATTTTTA